AGATCCCAGAGCTCTATTTATACTTTTTCTTTTCTTTTGTCTGCGCACCAAGGGATGCTAAGAGCTTCTTGCTGTTACCAATCCCTGGGTTACAGTACCATCCTCAGTTGGCTTTAAACTCTTCACAACCTACAAAACAATTGCCTGCCTTAAATCTCCTGATTTGGAGTGATTTATATTCCTTGGGTTGGACCCTGACTGATATACACACAACCTCTACGCACAATGGCCAATTTATATCCAATAGTAAAGAGGCATAAAGAAAGCCTGTTTATATGTTTCTTAAATTGCCTATGTTAAAACAGATTTCTTTTTTATCAGGCAAATATATTTTATAAGCTTCTGGCTTAAACAATGCAATTTACATGTGGATTTAATTTATGGTTGACTGGACTGCTTGCCTAGAGTTTTATATGCTGATGGGTATTATTCCTGTTTATTCTCTTAATGAATTACTTGACCTTAATTTTGATTTAGGTGCTTGATTTTTTATGTCACTTTAAATTTTGTGTTAGAAAGATGTGATTGTCATTAGCTATATAAATTTTTTTTCTTTTTCTTTTTTTTTGAGATGGAATCTCACTCTGTTACCTGAACTGGAGTTTAGTGGCATGATCTCAGCTCACTGCAACATTCACCTCCTGGGATCCAGCGGTTCGCGGCTAGTTTTTGTATTTTTAGTACAGGCAGGGTTTCATAGTGTTGGTCAGGCTGGTCTCAATTGCCTGATCTCAAGTGATCTGTCCACCTTGGCCTCACAAAGTGCTAGGAATACAGGCGTGAGCCACCGCGACTGGCCATTATGGCTCCTGGCCATAAATTTGTTCTTAACATTTAGAAGTTATTTAACTGCTGACATTTGCAAAATGTACAGCTTTTCAGTAAGTAACATTTACATGAGGCATTGAGAAAATGAGAAGAATTAAATTGGGAAGTATCCTAAATGATGGCTGAGTTCAGCCAAATCGTTTGAGGTGTCTTTGCAGTCTTTTATATATAATGTGTGACAGATGAGGGAACCTACTACTTTTTGGGCTCTGTCAGATGGAGGAGAAAGTCCCACATCACTTTGTTGGAAATATCTTTGCAAAGAACAGAAGGAGTGAGTAAATGTAATGTCAGAAACAGACGTGCACATGGCCCGGAGTGTTTTGGGAGTGTTTTGGCCTTGGTGACTGTACAATGAGAAGGGAGGTGTAGTCCATTTTATAGGACTTTGGGTGGCGTTGCATGTTTTCAGTAGAGAAGAAGAGTGTGTATTTCAGATTATCAAGAAAACTCTGCCCTTTTCCTCTTCTATAACATTTCTATATCTGGATAACATTTTGAATATGATACTAAAGTATCATTGTATTGAGATTAATTTTGTGTATTAACATCTGTATTCGTTAAGATACTGGGTTAGTATATGACACCCGTATCTAAAGCCTCAAAATCCATAACAGACATTTGAAGTAATCCTGTAAATAGACGACAGCCATTTGCCTAACTTAGTATCCTAAGATGGATGGCCCTATCCAATGGCCATTTTTTAAATTTTAGCTACTAATGAGTTTTATTGAGTCACTGACTAATTCTGAAGAATATTTTGGTGAGTTATAATTGGGGCTGTGATTTACTGAGTATGAAGACTGATAAGCCATTCCTTAGCCCTGTAATTGATGTAGAAGAAGAGAAAAGCACCCTGATGATCAGCATTTTATGTGGGGCAGGGAAGTCAAAAGCACAGTCTGGCTAAAGTAGAGTATTATTTTTGTCAGCCATTTCTGCATTTTACTTTTATTAAAAATGGCAGGGAAATGTGAAGTGCCACAAAACTTTGGGAGGGAAATCTCTTGTCTGCATCCCTTCTGATACTGAGTATATTCAAGCATCATCTATCACAGCTATTCCTGATGTTAAATGCTTCATTATAGTGAGTGAACCACAAAAGTAGTCTGGATAGAGGGACAGAATTTAGAATCATGGACCAAATGTACAAGTCATGCAACTGAGTATTTTTAGAAGGCCAAAATCTGGTTCTTTGTATTCATTGGGTTTATTGTAAGTTTGGATATGTTTATCCACCTGTGTTTCTGAACGTTCTGATGGAAAGAGTCTAACATGCAAATAAGAAAAACTGAATCCATATAGGCCCACAGATACATGAGGACTTCATTTTTTTTTTTTTTTTAAACAAAAAAACTTGAGTATTGAGTCTCCTACTACTTCCTTCTACAAAGTGTTTATGGTAGACTGGACTACCTTCTTTCCTATATCATTGCAAATGGATTGTTGGCTTGGGTATTTGCTTTATTTTTTGTTGGTGCTTTTTTGTTTGTTTTTTGTTTAGTATTTTTCTCTGTAAGTTAGCAACTATGTGTGTGTTCTATCATATTTCAGGATACAATGAGTCAGGAAGTTGGTTGTTTTGGTTTGGTTTTTTGCAAAGCAGTTTAGTACCTATATAGTTGCTTCATGGGCTCGAAGCTCTTAGAATTCTCTGCCTTACTATCCTTAATCACCTATGCTCTTTATACTCTTTTCCTTGTATTCTTCATGTAATAATTTGGACACAGCAGATGACTCTTTTCTCTAAGTAATCTCTTCTCTTGGTAACTGTGATGCCATTAACTCCTGATTTTTTTTTTCTCTCTCTCTGACTATTCCTTCATAGCCTCCTTCTTCAGCTCCCTTTTCATTATCCAATCACTAAATGTAATAGTTCCTAAAAGGCTTGGTCTTGGATTTCTTGTTTCTTCTATGCTTTCTAAGGAGCCAAGCTCTACCCCTACCTCAGGATTCTCACACATGTTGTTCATTCTTGGAACTCCCTTTCCTCCAGCCATTTTCTGTCTAATTCTCAGTCATTTTTCTTCCCCATTTGTGTCCACATATGTGGCCATTTGCATTTCTCCTAATACACCTTGTGCTTTCTCACTTCTCTTCTTTATGATTAGGCTAATTGTTTCCTGCTGCCTAATTGCCAAATTCTATTTTTTATTGCCTAGCTGAAAAGTCATGTTAATTTGTGAAGCTTTCTATAATCACCAAAGATTTTCTAAAAATTCAGACCAATTAATATATTTCCATAATACTCATAGCCCTCTTCACATTATTTCCCAGTGTTAATTTTATGTATATGCAATATATCCCCTATTTGACTGTAAAATCCTCAAAGGCAGGGGCCTTATCTTTAACCTAATTCTGTCTCCTACAGAACATAACATAGTGTCTTCTACATAGTAATCACACATAAGTGTATACTATCAAACAAAGAGCAACATTTACATTATAGCTTCCTCAGATTTCTTATTCTAATTTCAAAAGAAGTGGAGAATTTAGAGTCTCTAGGATTATTGCCCTTGGCCTGTAAAGGTTTTTATTTGTGCCCAGATATATAACTTAGAGTGAACTTTGTATCAAGCTATCTGGGAAGGTACGCCACTTTCTGTTATCAAACATTTCTGTTATTTTGCTTTTCAAGCTGAAAAGGGGAGATAACTTCTGTTTGCTTTGAGCTTCTTCTTGATGGTTTTCTGCTCTGCCTACTAATCAGGGTTGTATTATTTACCTTGTTTAAAAAGATTCATCTGAACATTCTTTCCATCCTTTGAATTGTAGTTGGATATTAATTCACTGCTGCGGGATACGTTGGTAAAGATTTCTGAAATTGCAGGGAAATGTTTTTTTAATCCCTTGAGTTTGTTAAGTGCTTTCTTATAATGGAGATCATAATCTCCTAGTTGGTAGAAGGGATGAATTGGTTACTGGGGATATTTTTTCCTTACTGGAAAGTTGCTGTATTAGAAAATACTTCATCCAGTTTTTTAATCCTTTCCACATGTGTATAAGGTCCTTAGGAAATAAGGAGATTCTTAGCACTGATTTCATGTTTTTCGTAAGGAAGGCATTGAGTAATGTTCAGGTCACTGTGATTCACAGGGTTAGTGGCCTAGGGCCTTTATTGGTGAAGCTTGAAAGTAATTTTCTTCAGCATTGTGCATACACACATAGCTACTAGATGCTCACAGGAGGCTGTGATTTTGGGAAACATGCAGTCTTAGAATATCTTGAACATTCAGCATAAATTGCCAAACAGCTAGCTAGAGAATGGTGTCAGGAAGAAGGGAGAGGGAGCCTTTAGGCATGAATACCCATATCTCCTTGACTTGTTCTTCCACAGATCTTAAGGGTCAGTTTTGACCTGCGTAGCAAACTAAGTTTCCTCATGACTTCTTGATTTCCATTTTCCTCTGCTTTTTTTTCATACTCAAGAAATTTTTTGTTTCTTTGTAAGTTGTCACCTGCTTTGGAAATGATGACATTATTAATGCATTTTCTCTTTCTATAGCACTTATGAAATTGCTTTCTGACAGTTACTGTTTATTAAACATTTGTGTCTTTTGGAATGGTGAGCAATAGGGAGAATATTCAGGTCCAGCTAAGGGCATAAGATAGTAATGATTTCTCATTTGAAAGGGGTATTTTGTTAAGACTGGGGCTGATCTTTTCTAATTTATCCTTGGATTGGTAGAAGATGGGGTATCTCTTGCTCATTAGTTTTCACTGCCCAGCACTGTTCCACAATTATCCTGAGTAGAATTAGGGGAGGGACTAGAGGACCTATTTTCTGTAAATATGGTAGAAAGACGGTTTTGAATTATCTAAATGGCCCCTAATTTGTGAGAGAAAATCAAAAGGAACAAAAACAATAATTTCAAAAACAACTACAACCTAGGCTCTGACATCCCAAAGAGGAATATTTCAACTATAATTCTCAGCATTTTAGAAATTAATTTCTTGACAAATATCAATAGATAGTATTGAGACTTCTCAAATATAAAGTTTTGAAATCAGAATTTTGTATCTCATCTGTCCCCTAAAAGAAGTATGACAATTGTGCATGCTGACAATGAGGTTCATGAACCATGATACATACTTAATAGGCACAAACACAGAAGCGTACCCCCTCTTAAGCATCACTGAAATCTAAGAAAATTTTTTGTCTTATGTTTTAGCAAGTAACCAGCTCATAAATCACATCGAACAGTTTTTGGATACTAATGAAACACTGTATTTTATGAAGAGCATGGACTGCATCAGAGCCTTCCGGGAAGAAGCCATTAAGGTAATGCTGTCCTAGCATATCTTCTCTTCCTAAACAGTTGGCCACTATCACAGGGAAAGAGGCTTACAGCATCCCAGAAATGAGCTTGGACTTTGGAAATTAACATTCTCAGTTTGAATAGCAGTATATGCCAGTGGAACTACGAATGACTTAAACTCATATTACTATCACTGTCATTTCTGAGGTGGAATAAAGATGGTTAGGTAGGATGTTTTATTCTTGGAAATTAGCTTTTTATTATACTAAAGCCCTGGCTTTTGCTTTCGTTTCTATTAGGGAACCAAGGAAATTTCCATGGGAACCTATGGTGGCCCACTCGTTATTGTAAAGGATTGGCTTTTAGGGAAATGGATGGAAAATGTATATTCGTTTAATTGTTGAGAAAGATTTTACGAAGATAGGAGTAGGGATCTAAATGTAAGAAAAAAAAGAACACTGAAAATTACTCAGTTCCTCAGGAACTATGCCTTTTCTGTGGGTTTTGTCTGTTTGTTTTTTTATTAGGAATTTTTAGAAAATACTTCTAAAATTTTCCAAATTATGTGTAGGCTTTTATATCGCTAGGTAAGAAGTGAGCAAGCTTAAATTGGAAAGCATAATTTTAAAGTAGGCACAGTTGTAGAATATGTTCTTATGTGGATGCTTATTAAATATTTGCTGAATATATGAATGAATTAATGCTTAAATTAGGTGCTTACAAAGAGTGACAAGAAAATGGAAAAACATTAAAATCAAATTAGAATAAAAGATTCAGAAGTGGATAATCTGAATACTCTTCAGGTAAAAGACAGATTTTGGAGTATAGTCAGGACAAGACTGCAGATGATTCAGCTGGGTGGAAAAAGATTGGTTAGATGGAAAGAGATAGTAAAAGTGTATTGCTATTTTTAAAGCACTGCCCAGGCTAGATGGAGTGTCTTATAACACCTCTGTGCATTGCTGCCACCCAATGTCCTTAAAAATACCAGGTCACATTGTGTTTCTTAAAAAAATAAAAGAGAGATAGAGGATACTTCAGTGACGTATCATTCAATCTTAATGGAGGGAATTCTTCTTTCTTCCTCCTCCCCCTCCCTCCCTCCCTCCCTCCCTCCCTCCCTCCCTCCCTCCCTCCCTTCCTCCTCCTCCTCCTCCTCCTCCTCCTCCCCCTCTCCCCTTTCCCCTCCCCCTGCTCCTTATCCTTTCTTCCCCTTATTTATTTATTTGTTTGTTTGTTTATTTATTTTTAGATGGAGTCTTGTTCTTGTTACCCAGGCTAGAGTACAGTGATGCAATCTTGGCTCACTGCAACCTCTGCCTCCTGGGTTCAGGTGATTCTCCTGTCTCAACCTACTGAGTAGCTGGGATTACAAGTGCATACCACCACGCCCAGCTAATTTTTACATTTTTAGTAAAAATGGAGTTTCACCATTTTGGCCAGGCTGGTCTTGTACACCTGACCTCAGGTTATCTGCCCACCTTGGCCTTCCAGAGTGCTGGGATTACAGGTGTGAGCCACTGCATCTTTTTTGAAGTGTAAAAAATTTTACGTTTTATGGAACAATTAGGGAAATGAGAATACTGACTAGTTACTTCGTTCTTTTAAGGAGTCACTAATTTTTTGTATGGTGTTAATGGCATGTGAGTGTGTTTGAGTATATATTTTCTGTATTTCATAGAGATATTTATAAGTGAAATAATTTGAAATTAGCTTCAGAATAGTTGGAGGGTTATGGGAGAAGAAGGTCAGAATATAGATGAAATAAGATTGGTTTAGTTGATAATTATGTTTTTATGTTTTATTTTTAAGACAGTCTCACCCAGTCACCCAGGCTGGAGTGCAGCGGCACAATCTCGGCTGACTTCATGCCTTCTAGACTCAAGCCATTCTCCTGCCTCAGCCTCCCAAGTAGCTTGGATTAGAGGCGCCCACCACCATGCCTCGCTTATTTTTGTATTTTTAGTAGAGATGGGGTTTCACCATGTTGGCCAGGCTGGGCTTGAACTCCTAACCTCAGGTGATCTGCCTGCCTCGGCCTCCCAAATGGCTGGGATTATAGGCATGAGCCACCATGCCCTGCCTGAGTTGATAATTATTGAAGCTGGGTTATGAGTGTGTGAGCACTCACTAAATTAGTCTGTTTTTGTTTGAGAGTTTCTAGATTAAATGTTAAAAACAAAGGACTAGGCCATCACAAAAAACTGATTCTGGGAAGCTCTGTGCCTTGCACAGATGGAAGGGTTTTTGGTCCGCAGCGAACACACCTCAGTTTGGAATGCCAGCTTCCCGTGTACCAAAAAAGAACATTTTATTTTTTTGTAATGAAGACCATGATTCAGAATATACGGTACTTTGTTTGGTCTGGGGCTGAATTTTGTTTTTGTGTTTGCTCTGACTTGCCGCCTCCTCTACCCCAACTTGCTACCACAGTTTTCAGAAGAGCAGCGCTTTAACAACTTCCTGAAAGCACTTCGAGAGAAAGTGGAAAGTAAACAATTAAATCATTTCTGGGAAATTGTTGTTCAGGGTAAGTTGCTGTTTTTTTCTAAATATACATATAAATTCTAAATATAAGCTATATTGTGAAATGAGTTATGTGGGGAGCATGATGACTTTCTACGTGGCTTTGGGAAGTGTTTAGTTTTCAGTGAACTCAAACTCCCTTAGTAAGCATAAATACAAAGTGATAAATAATAAATAAATATGTAAATTCCATCTTAGACTCTACACAGCATGACCTGTTTCAGCACTGTGCCTGTTTGTTCAGTGGAGCAGCTGTGTGGGCAAACGTTGCCCTCTCTCTCAGATTCTTAGGCCACTTCGGTCCTGCTGGATCCACAGCCCTTTGGTTGACCTCACCCAGATTTTATCTCCCTGCCACTTTTCAGTTACGGTGTTCTTGGACTTTCCGTTTCAGCAGACCAGCATCTTCTTGCACTAAAGCCATTCAGTTCCTCACTTGTTCACAGCAACCAATGCAAATTAAACTCAGAAAGAAGACAGCACACATTCAATGTTAGGCTTGATCCTTGCTTTTTTTCATGGCCTTTTGCCACCCTCCACCCCCCATTTTTAAACATGACCTGATTTTCTTTTAGAACCCAAGTATAAGATATTACTTGTTTAAAATATATACTCATGGACACAGGGAGGGGAGCATCACACACTGGGGTCTGTTGGGGGGAAATAGGGGAGGGACAGCAGGGGGCGGGGAGTTGGGGAGAGCTAGCATGGGGAGAAATGCCAGATACAGGTGATGGGGAGGAAGGCAGCAAATTACACTGCCATGTGGGTACCTATGCAACAGTCTTGCATGTTCTTCTCATGTACCCCAAAACCTAAAATGCAATAAAAATAAAATACATATTATGAAAATGATGATGTTTACAAGATAGAGAAACATTTCACTTAAACAGGAGGGATGCAAAATTTATTTCAGTCTGTCTTTCTGTGCAAATTCTGTACAAAAAGAGTTGCTTACCTATTTATCCACCTTCTAATGGGCAACTCTTCATCACACAGTTTCCTGACAGTTAATTTTTCAGCCCTTTAATTTCTACACTTGGGAACAAAAGCAATTGGAATGAGTGGTGAATGGGACTTACTCAAATCACTTTTGCGTCTCTGCTGTTGACCCCGTAAATGAAGGAGACTGGTTTTGGTATTTATTGAATGCCTACAACCTATTATTTGCTGAAAAGAAACTTACAGGACATATGCAAAATCCATATTTTTTGATAGCTTGTATGCTGAGAGAATACAAATGACCAAGGCCATTCATAGGTACAAATGGATGTTAAATACATGTGCTTTTTGGACAGTATATCATGTATCAGCCATTTGACGTAGGAAAATGTCTTAGGAAGAAGAGCAAACTAAAGAGTAGATTTTCTTTCCTTGATTTGCTCTTACTGAGCTGAAATTGACAAACTGCTAAATGATAGACATGCCCCTTGGTGAAGACCATATTTTCTTCCTCCCTAGTCCTCCGGCCACTCTATGAATAGCCATGGCTACGAGACAAAATGTATGCATAGTCTCATATTGGGCACCTGATAGCTTGGACAAAAGCATGCAGTCATCCAATTACCATTTATTTATTGCGCTTCTGTGGTGTGCTACAGTAAGTCCTCTTTTAATGTTGCCCATAGGTTCTTGAAAACCGTGACTTTAAGCAAAATGACACATAATAAAACCATTTTTTTCTCATCCATGTTATAATGAAACAACATTGCTTAAGGAACTATTGTTTCTCTTAAAGCCACAGTTTCCAACATCCTATTGATGATAGTTAAGTAAGGACATAGTGTACATCGAAGGGAATATAAAGATGTATAAGACTGAGTATTTGCCCTTGAGAAAATACAGTCTTAGGAGAGAGAACATGTGTATAAATAGTTATACAAGTTAGGACAAGAGCCATTCCAGCGGAATAAACAAAGTGATCTGAAGATTCTAAAGAAGGGGAGACTAGAGTTGAACAAGGAAGGGTTCATGGAACATGTGGCATTTGACATGTGGCTTTTATTGCGTATTACACAAGCAAAAACTGGAGAAAAGATAATTGATGATGGTCAATGTTAATTAGTTGCCTTTAGTTTTATATTTTTTGTAGAACAGAGCACCTTTATAGTTAAAAATCTCCAGCACAGTCAGGGCACAGTGGTACATGCCTGTAATCCCAGCACTTTGGGAGACCAAGACAAGAGGATCACTTGAGCCCAGGAATTTGAGATCAGCCTGGGCAACATAGTGGGACCCTGTTTCTATAAAAAAAGAAATCTCCAGCTCAAAGGTGGGAGGGGGTGTGGTGGAAAGGAAAATGGGACTTGAGTTGATTCTTTGTGTGTTAGATTTTACTCTGTATATTACTTTTTAGATGGAATTACTCTGATCACCAAAGAGGAGGCATCTGGAAGTTCTGTCACAGCTGAGGAAGCCAAAAAGGTATTGAGGGGTGACTCTCTGTGTTTAGTTGAATTATTTTAGTGGAGTTTATTTTCTTGATGCCCTCAAAGTAAAATTTTATAGATAACTAAATTGGTGTACTCACCACAGCATCCTCATGGGAGAAATTATAATCTTAGTCAGTTTTTTGTAGGCTGTGGTTATATTTGTAAAACTTAACCTATAATCCCCCAGCTTCAGAACCTCTAGAGCGTGCTGTTGAACTCCATAGTGCACAAACTTTGCCTTGGCCTTGGTAAAGGCTATGAAATCCAGTGATTCCACCCTGACCATATCATTAGTCACATGGGGAGCTTGCTTTGTTTTTGTTTTGTTAATACTGATTAAAGATCAGAATTACCCTAGAGATTCTGTTAGTCTGAGATGGGTCTTGGGCACAGTTGGTTTGTTTGTATTTTAAAACCTCTCGGATGATTGTATTGTATAGTGAACAGAGAAATACTAGGATTCTAACATAAGGGACATCCAGGTGTTTTCAGTAAAAGACCCCCATGTATACAATGCTCATGAGCTTTTTATTCACATAGATTGTTGGGCCTAGGTCTCCTTCTTTGGTGTGTATCGAATCTCATTCAGCCATGAGTCAAATACATGTGGTTATTTAGTTCAGTCATTCTTTATTGTACTTCAAGGTCGTGATGAAATTTTAATGAATTAAATTGAATAGCTCAAAAGTATATACTTCATAACATTCAGTTTCAGTTACAGTCACTGACTGATAGAGTTTTTCTGGCCCCTGATAGTTCTCAGTTACTAAGCTTCTACAATATGCTAGGCACTGTGCTGGATGATAAAACAGCACCCCTTCCCTGTAGAAGCTCAGGCAGTTAAAATGGAGCATAGGGAAGCAACGGAGACTCAGAAAATAACTATATACACTAAGGGAGAGCTTGGTCTGGGCTGGTGAACAGGAATCTGTTAGGCAAGTGACAGACGCAAAACTGGAAATGTTAATCAGATGGCTAAATTCAGGCCAAAATTTAAGTATCTTTAATTTTCAACTCAAGAAAGGCATTTGGCAGAAACCATAGTATGGTTTGGAAGAGAAATTAAAATATACAATAATTTTTATTAAGCACTTTGCCTAGCAAAAGGTTTTTGTTAAAAAACAGGCCATCCCTACCTTCAGGGAGTAAGATCCTAGAATTTTTGAAGCATACTGTAAGGTGGTGATTATCATCTCAAAAGGGTTTTCATGGTGTCTGTACTGTTTTCTTCCACAGTCAGTACTGAGTACCATGGGCTTGAATATGCCATTTAACTGTTTGGTTTTATTTCTATTTGTCACTTTATACAATGTTTGATAATATCTCCCCCTTGAACTGGGCTGTCAGTCAAGGTTCTCCAGAGAAACAGAACCAAGACAACATACATCTGTGCATGTTTGTGTATGCACATAAGCATACACATATATCTGTATATATAAAGAGATATTTATTTATTGGCTGACTTTCAGAAATTGGCTTATGTGATTGTGGGGCTTGGCAGGTCTGAAATTCATTGAACAGGCTAGCAGACTGGAAACTCAGGCAGGATTTCTGTGTTATAGTCCTGAAGCAGAAACCTCAGCTTTTGCTTTTAAGGCCTTGACTTGGTTGGATGTGACCTACAGACATTATTGAGAGTAATCTTTGCTTAAAGTCAGCTGATTGTAAATGTTAATCACAGCTCTGAAATACCTTCACAGCACCATCTAGTGTAGTGTTTGATGGAACAACCGGGAACCATAGCCCAGCCAAGTCGATGTAATATTAATCGTCACATGGGGTGAAGACCTATCAGTCAGTTTTTGCTAAACCAGTAAATCAGGAAAGATAATTTTTGTCATTATTACATTAAGAAAATCTGTTATCCAGGTAAGAGTTGAGTACATATTAAGAGTTTTTGGAAGAAGTGAGGAGCTGTGATCTAAAAAAGCTCATGTTTCCTCCAAGCAGCACATCTTAACCAAAGATGTTCCAGCTAAATGAACCCAGAATGTTAGGAACGAAATCTGAAAACGGATGATGTGCTTACAAATTACGCAAGGCTTGTTCTGTAATGCAAATGGGTTGTCTTCTTTGAAATGTAAAGGCACTGAGCCTAAACATGAGGAATTTTAATGTCTGGTGATTAAGCTATAGCGAGAAATTTTAGTTAATGACCAGGTATAAGATGGTGTCATTAGATAATTCTGATGTCACCAGAACTGATGTCAGTTGTAGTTTAAGACAGCTCTCATAACTTCACCATCTTGGAATAGAGAGAACATCATAAAAACCAAGTGGAGAGAATCTATTCTACTTCAGCCACAGGTTGCCTGGCTCAGACTGGCTGCTTCTTCCTTTTAGAGTATAGTGTTTCCACAGTCAAGGCACAGTGAGTGTGCTTCTCGTACTAACAGCAAAACAGAACTTGACTGTCATGGCAGATAAGAAATTGGAAATTCAACAAAAATGTATTGCATACCAGCTCTATGCTAGGCACTTTGATATCTATTATCTCATAGCCTCCAAAAAAAGTACACTGCACATTAACCTAGCAGACGCTATTTCATGCCTAGAAAATGCCATTTCCTTTTTTTTTTTTTCCACATTTATCAGTGCTTTAGCCAATATAGTATGTATACCAGATATCTGTATAACACATTGACTTCTAAAGAATCATTCACATTGTATGGTGTTTACCTAGAACACTAAATACATCATATCTAGATAATGGTAGAAAATAACCGTAGTAGAATTTTGCTTGTATCCAACTCCAGAACCAAAGAGCCCAGCACTATCTCTGTGATCCTCACATTGATCTGCTAAGAATTGACAAGAGCAGGAACTACCATCCCTGTTACCCACTGGGAAGCCAGGCCCCAGAACGGTTAAGTGGGGTTATACTCAGAGCTCACAGAGACAGCAAGAGGATTAAAATACACATTCCTGTGCACCACCCCAGACCTTCGTTTTCAAGTGGATTAAGTTTTATAAATGGAATCTTGGACCAGCCATATCTAAAATATAGTAGTCCCTGTCTGCTTCATCTCAAATGACTTTCTGGCCTACAGCCAGGTGGTGGTTAGAATAACCTGGAAAGTCATAGAGTAGAGCCTGTAATTTTGATTCACCTTCAGTATACACTATATTACATTTGTCCCTTGTTAGTATAGTGGCGAGTATCCCCACCTGTCACTATATCATGTTTAACTGTGAGATTACACTTGTGTGTCTGCTTTAATATCACATGAACCCTTTATTTTGTTTTCCAGAGTGAAAACTTGATCCTTTGTATTAAAAATGCTTTTATTTAATTATTTTATTTATTTATTTATTTATATTTTTTGAGACAGAGTCTTGCTTTGTTGCCCAGGCTTGAGTGCAGTGGCACGGTCTCAGCTCACTGCAACCTCTGCCTCCTGGGTCAGAAAATTCTCATGCCTTAGCCTCCCAAGTAGCTGGGATTATAAGTGTGCACTATCCTACCGGCTAATTTTTGTATTTTTAGTAGAGATGGGGTTTTACCATAGTGGCCAGGCTGTTCTCAAACTCCTGGCCTCAGGTGATGCACCCAAAGTGCTGGAATTATAGGCGTGAGTCACCATGCCCAGCCTGAAAATATTTGTAAATGGCATCTGTTGATTTTTGGAGAGAAGTGTGGAAGGGAGAGTGTACATGTAGATGATGATGGGGAGACTTGCAGAAGAAGATTCTGGCTCAAGGAAGCTGCTTCTTTGTGGTTTTAATAGAGGAGATGTGCTTTAGCTATATCTCTTAGCCAAGTGAGAGAAGTATAATCTCTTTGACCATGTACTGAAATATTCATTTATATTGCCTTCAGGTGTTCAGTGTGGTCACTTCCCAAATAATCATTTAGGGAAACTTGACTATAATCAGTGAGGTTAAAGAACAATGCTTACAGTCCATTTAAATTCTTTTGATGTATTTTCTGTACGTTATTTAAAGTTAGCAAGCTGTCATATTCTTGCCATTAAATGTTGACATTTGAAAGGAAATAATTATCCAGGGATGTTCATTTTAAATGAAAATTAAATTATAACTTTACAGTTGTATAACATCTTCAGAAGAGCTATTTTCCTCCAGTGTGTTCTAGAAATATGTGAATTGTATGATTCTTTGAGAAATAGAAGTCAGCTCTGCCATAGAAGTAGAAAGTTTTTCCATGACATAAGTTTAGACAGTCACTTTCTTTTAAGTTTCCTGGTACCTCTCATTTTATTTTGAAACCTAGGAATAAATATTATCATTCTTTAATGTTCATTTTTTTCACTTCATTTTAATGTTCATTTTTATTATCATTATAAACTTTCACTTTTTCTATTTCTGGTTTGTTTGATTAGATATGCCATTAGCATTTGATGTTTGGTAGAATCTTTGTGTAGTCTCTGTGTGCCCTTCATCTGTCAGTTCTCACTGCACGGCTCTGTAGTGGGTAGAAGAGGTAAAGTGTTGTCTCTGAGAGCTCACTGTAAGTCACTGGCCAGGAGTCTATTTCTAGCACTGCCCTCGTCCTTTATTTTTCTTCCTTCGTATTGAGAATGCAGTGAGGAAAGAGGATTTATCCCCATGGCTTTGGGATCATTATTATTATTATTTTTTACCAGATTCCAAGAGGCTGAGCTATGTCTAAATAATCATTTGATATAAGCTCTATGAAAAAAAAATTATTGTTTTAGCACTTATTTTTCTTCTAACTGCCTAATTTATCCTTCTTTATTGTTGACATTTATTGATTTTTCCAACTTAGTATCACAGACATTCAGAGATTAGCAGTATGATCATTTTACCAACACCCCGTTTAAAGAGTTAAAGTTGTCTGGCTCAGTGCATCACAGCAAGCTAGTGGCCACCGGACTTGACTGGAATCCAGACCCACCCATACCCACTGCAGTCATCTTATCACTACACCATGGTGCCAACTCTCCATGCCTTCACCTTATCATGCCACTAACCACATCTACCTAGAGAAAGGATGCTCATACTCCCTTTCAAGAGTACATCCAGTTCTGTGTGTGAGAGTGCACAGGGATTCTCCAAAGCTTAGTGGAGGACTGAAGACAAAGGTGTTAGGAATCAATGCTTCAGAGCAGTTTTCTGACACTGCTGGCCCCTGTTGGACCCTATGACATTTTTCTTTGCTCTTCTCTGTTTTTATTTTTCTGCCTTAATTCTCTGGTGTAGTTTGCTAGTACACGAAAAGCAATAATGAAAATATCACAGTGTTACCCAATATTTATTTAGGGCTTGATACATTTAAGATACAATTTTAAATTTTTTATTGAGGTTGAACATTTGTACAGTTAATGCACAGATCTTAACTATGCAACTTGATGAATTCTTAAACATTCATTTACTTGGGTGCTTACCACCCAGATCAAAAGAACAGAACATTTTCATCACCTCATTAGGCTCCCTAGTAGCTTCCCATTCAGAAGCCCCCATCCCTTGAGGTAACTACTATTCTGACTTCTGTCACTTGAGAGTGGCCTTGCCTGTTTTTGATCTTCATATACTTGGAATCATGCCTTTTTTGATTCATCCAATTATGTGATTATAGCTGTGTAGTATCTCTTTTATGATTTTACCACAATTTATTCATCCTCCTAATGATGAACATTTGCTTGTCTTTTAGCAATTATGAATAAAGATGCTGTGGATATTCTTGTACCTATCACTTGGTGGACATATATTAAGTGTATTCCTAGGAATTAGAACATAAAATTTAAACTACCATAAAGAATTTTTGCAAACTTCTTTCATCTGATAGTCACCACAACCCCTAAAATAGGTATGATAAGTAGTAGTATTCACATTTTATTTTTGAGAGAAATTAGTTATGGAAAGGTCAGGTGGCTTGCCTAGGGTTCCTGAGAAACTGACAGGGTTACGGTTGTGTTCTCCACACTAGGCTGTAGGATTTCTTTTGCATCATATTAGCATTTATAGCATTGAGTAAGCTACAAGTGACATTAAAGAAACCCAAATATATGTCTTTTTAGGCAAAGTACATGCAAACTGACTTGTTCTTTTCGATGCTTTTTACACATCTGGATTGTGAGTGATCCTTTGGAAACAACCTATTGGAAGTTATGTGTTTTTTACTTTGGAGGTCAGTAAGGGTCTCAGCACAAGATGATAGTTTTTAGTCTTATGATGGGATAGGACTGGCAGTTTCTATTTAGAGGTTATTGATTTCATTTCTCTGTTTATAGCCAGGATTATATTTCACTGTATTTGAAAAGTAGTAGGTTATCCATTTCATAAAGTTCTCAAAGTAAGGATGGTAGCTTGAGGAAGAAGAAATATGTCACACAGATGCCCTTTCTATTTAGTCTCTACTTTCTCAGCATATTGCAGAGAGAAAGAACACACTAGAAAAGATGAAAATTGACTCCTACCTCTTTCTGTAGAAGAGATTTGGAGAGTATCTTTCTTTTATTGAGAAAGCAGGCTAGTCATTGAGTTCTCTGCTGTCTTGCTTCCCTGTCACTGCACGGGCTGGAATTACTTGCAATTAAAAACACTGATGATGAGGAGTGATATGTGGAAGAGATCAGCCTTGCCTGGGGCATTGAGAAGGATAATGGATGGCAGCCCAGCTTTTAAACATAGTTGCTTACACAGAAATGTGAAGCAGATCTGTCAGGAAAATCACTTGCAGATGATACTTAGCACTTGATGAAAATGTAGGTTTTTTACTGCTGCTCCTTTCTTCCTAGGAATTTGGCCTAGTCTCAGAGATGTGCTAATTTGTGCTTAAGTATATATACTGTGGTCATACTATGCCAACAGTCCTGTCTTAACTTCTCCTTTAATTGCAGTGTGAAGGGGGCTTTGCAGGTTGGAAGGGAGTGGGAATTTGAGATTTTAGAGGCTGAGTGCCAAAACACATCAGGGATTTTCCAGATTCGTCAGTAAGTCCCTAACTAAGGGGTCATAAAAGATGTAGTAGGCTACAGAACCATTGAGCCCAGGGAGTTTCTCAGAGGTTTGGAAGATACTGGTCATTTGTGCCCACAAGAGATTTATGGCAAGATGCAGCTCTGCTTTTTATTCTCGTGCCCCAACTGGATAAATCTTACCCTGTAACCATATAGTCCTGATAGCAAGAAAATCACTCAGGGGTGAATGATGAGTCAGAGAGGAAAGGGTACAATACAAAAAGTATAGTAATAATCCGGAAAACTCCAGATACCAATTTGAGTACAGTTTATTTAACCCTAACCC